ATCGCGTTCGGCCATGGTCACCAGTATGGCCTCGATCCTGGACGGCAGCGACTACCGGCCTGAGCTCTCCATCCCGCTGCACCACGCTATGAGTATGTCCTGCGACTCGTCCCCGCCAGGCATGGGCATGAGCAACACCTACACTACGCTGACTCCGCTCCAGCCGCTGCCACCCATCTCCACGGTGTCAGACAAGTTCCACCACCCGCACCCTCACCACCACCCTCATCACCACCATCACCACCACCATCATCATCAGCGTCTGTCGGGCAACGTCAGTGGCAGCTTCACCCTCATGCGCGACGAGCGCGGGCTTCCGTCCATGAACAACCTTTATAGCCCTTACAAGGAGATGCCTAGTATGAGCCAGAGCCTGTCTCCACTGGCTGCCACCCCGCTGGGCAACGGACTGGGTGGCCTTCACAACGCTCAGCAGAGCCTGCCCAACTATGGTCCGCCGGGCCACGACAAAATGCTCAGCCCCAATTTCGACGCGCACCACACTGCCATGCTGACCCGCGGTGAGCAACACCTGTCCCGAGGCCTGGGCACTCCGCCTGCAGCCATGATGTCTCACCTCAATGGCTTGCACCACCCGGGCCACACTCAGTCCCACGGGCCAGTGCTGGCTCCTAGCCGCGAGCGGCCCCCTTCGTCCTCCTCGGGGTCGCAGGTGGCCACGTCGGGACAGCTAGAGGAGATCAACACCAAAGAGGTGGCCCAGCGTATCACCGCCGAGCTGAAGCGCTACAGCATCCCACAAGCTATCTTCGCACAGAGGGTTCTATGCCGGTCTCAGGGGACTCTCTCCGACCTGCTCCGGAATCCCAAACCCTGGAGTAAACTCAAATCTGGCAGGGAGACCTTCCGCAGGATGTGGAAGTGGCTGCAGGAGCCCGAGTTCCAGCGCATGTCTGCCTTACGCCTGGCAGGTAAGCTCAAAGGCATCGGCAGCCAGGCTGCTGGGGGAAACTGTTTGTGCTCCAGCGGCTGGTCTGTGCGCGGGCTATGGTCTTTAGCTGTGCTCCCTTCTCTCCTATATACTTCCCCCTTTCTTCTCTTTCTTTTTCTTCCATTTTCACTTTCTCTTCTCCCCTTGTTTCTCTTCTCTCTTCTTTCTTGCTTTCTCACTCATTGCCTCCGAGTTTTCGCTGCCCCCTCCCTTTCATTTGTCCCCTTATCAGTGTGTCAACCTTTCCCCTCCTACAGTGGGAGGCGGGATCGGGTCTCTCAGCGTCCTCTAGAAGCCCAGTTTTCTGGACTCAACGCAAATCGAGAACTGCCCTTAGCCCAAACCGGTGTACTTGAACTTTCTTAGGACAACACTCTTCCGTTTTCCAGGGTTCCTAGTCTCCTTATGTAGATGCTTTTGACTGATAGGGGGTTTTGTTCCTTAGAAAGGGAGAAGAGTTCTTCCTTCCCCTCCTACCCACCAAAGCAAGCAAACTTCTTTGGCCATTGGCAGGAGGTACACCCTTGGGGCTCCGGGAACAAACAGCCAAAACCTCTCTGAGGCTTTGGTGTTAGTCCATGGACTTTACGACCCACTAAAAGAGCGGAGTCTGTCCGGCTCCGGTGTCACTGACTGTAGAAAAGAGGGTGCAAAGACGAAGGTTGGCGCGGCCGCATTCATCGCTTTGGGAAGAAACACCAGAGTAAAGAGCTTCCTGCTTCACTCGCCTGCAGCCCTTGCTGGGCAACAAGCCTTTGCTAGGGTTTGCTGAGGTTTGACAGTACTCCAAGAGAGATTAAGCTCTCGAAAATAGGTGCTGAGAAAATTAAGAAGCGAGTTAGTTAAGGTTTCTTGGCCGCAGCAGGCTGTAAGCTCCGCCTTTGCATTAAGCGGGCGCTGATTGTGCGCCTAGCGGCGGCGTGGCGGGGAGGGCGAGCAGCCAGCGGCAGGGGACCGGTCAACGCGCGGGTTACATTGTTCTGGAGCGGGCACGGCTCTCTGTGCCTCCTCTAGCGGCCGAGAGGCGAGGTACAGCCCTCTATTGTTCTAGGAACACTGAAACCTCCGCTGTGGGCGGTGGGTGCAAGAGCGAAAGACGCAGCCTGGGCTGCGCTGGCTCACTCAGTTGCGGAGCTTTTGTGCACGCAGACCCTTCTACCCCCAGGCCTGAACCGCCGACCCAGACGGGCTAGGTGTCCAGACCTCCCACTGATGAGGACATACAATACCCAGCCGCAAGCCTGTCTGGGACCTCTCAGGAAAGACTTGGCGTTCTAGAACAATTAGTGTTGGTCTTAATTTGCGTAAAATCTCTATTGAGACTCGCGTGGTTCTGAATCGGGCGTTCACGGCTCACTAGCGCTCTGAATCTGTTAGCTCAGTTGTCCTCTCCCGTCCCCAGGACTTTCTTCCACCACCGAACAGGGCTTGTCCGGTGCATCTAAGGTTGCCTAGCAGGACTAGGTCACTGCTCCGGAGGAGGAGGCGTTTCCGCCTACAGCCCCCTCCTTTGGCCACTGCTGGATTTTGTTCACTGCTCAGTAACCTCCCCTGCCAATCTAAAAAGGTAAAGGAAAACAAACAAACAAGCAAACGGAGAAACAAACAAAAAAAGATTTGTTCAAAGAACTCCATTCAAAAATCAGTGGACTGCGGACACTTTTGAAGTTCAAAGTCGTCTTTATCTCTTTTTTTCTCCCTTGGTTTATTCTTTATCCTCTCCTACATTTTCTTTGGATTTGCTCCTGGCCCCTAGCAAAGATAAAGCTGGAGACCTGGCGACAGCTCCCAGTGTAGTAACGCTTTTGTTTTAGACTCCCCTCTCTCCGATACAGCAGGAGCTCTGAGGGGTCTCCAGCCTCGGCTTGCTTCCAGCGCTTGGGGGCTAGAAGGAACTTGGCAGCTGTTCTTTGGGGTGCAGTAAAAGGCTGGATGACAGCTGTTCTACTCTGGCCCATTTCGGAGCGCTGCCGCCCCCTCACGCCGGTCGGGCAAAGGACAAGGCTGTTGGAAAACGCTAGGTTCTGCCTGTGTACGTCTTGAAAGTTAAGCCTCGCCTTGCTATGAGTTTTTACGATAGCGCACGGGAAAGAGTGTGGGACCTGGGTCTCTCAGCCCGACTCCTGCAGAGTTGCCTGGTGGCACCTGAAAGCACGCTTTCCAGACCATAGACCGTGGAGAGAGATTCTCGGCGGGGACGTCTAAGGGAGAAGTGCGCTGAGGACCCGGCTTTGCTCAAACATTTAAATGTGAGTCTGTTTTATTACCCTAGGTGAAAAGGGGCAAGAGCCTTCGCCTTTTTATCTCGCCGTTGTATCAGCAACTACAAGTGTGTGGAGTGGTTATTATTACATAGGAGGCTTTTCAGTACGGGGTCAGTAGATCAGTCTCTTCAGACACTGTGGCAAAAGCCGGGACAAGTAAATAGGTATTATGTGCTCAGTAGAGTAGGGAACAGAAGCACAGAGAGGAGAAAAGGGAGGCCTTTTGATTGTTATTGATCGATGGGAAACCCCGCTGGGAAGCAGTCGGGGCCTAGGCCTTTGGGACTGGGGGTTAAGCAAGCCAGCGACTCCCGGGGATGGCCAACCCAGTCCAGCACCTATGCGACCTGGAGTCACATCCGACCGCCCATTCATATTCTCTCGATCATTCATACAGTTCTCTCTCTCTCTCTCTCTCTCTCTCTCTCTCTCTCTCTCTCTCTCT